GCAAACACTGGAAGGGAGCCAGGGATGAGGAGGTGCAGAGGAGGAAAGAGAATTCCAGGGATGGGGGGCAGCCAGCGAAAATTCCTGACATTGGAGATGGAGTCTCTAGTGTGAGGGAAAGAAAAACCCAGAAAAGCAAATTTATTTGAGAAATTGTGAGAAACCATACGATGGAGCCAGGGATGAGGAGGTGCAGAGGAGGAAAGAGAATTCCAGGGATGGGGGGCAGCCAGCGAAAATTCCTGACATTGGAGATGGAGTCTCTAGTGTGAGGGAAAGAAAAACCCAGAAAAGCAAATTTATTTGAGAAATTGTGAGAAACCATACGATGATGGAGTTCTAACATTCTAACATTCTAATAATAACTTCACCAGGTGGTAAGGATCAAGTGAGATAACATACATAAAGTGCTTTGCAAACCTCAAAGTGCTGTATGAAAATGCTAGCTTTTAATGTTGTTCACCCTTCATTTTTTTTTGGGGGGGGTGATGGAAGGAAGGAAACAAGCATTTATTAAGCACCTAATTATGTGCCAGGCGCCATGCTAAGTACTTTACAGATATTATTTCATTTGATCATCAAAACAACCCTGGGAGATAGATGCTGTTATTATCTCCATCTTACAATTGAGGAAACAGAGGTAAGTAACTTGCCCACATCCTTCATTTTTGAAGAGGACCAATGACATCACGATGTCATGGGTGATGTCTTAACTTATGTTGAATTAGCTTTAAGTGAGGCAGAGTTGCACAAAGTCATCAGCCTTACTCTCTCTTCCAGAGTCATCGAAGTCCAGTGATAAGACAAAAGTCAAAACGCCTGGCAATGGCCCAGGATGCAATGGATCACCTTGGCATCTTTTATGTCTGATCAAGCTCTAAATGCTCCACAGCACCTGCTTCAGCCACCTTCATAGCCATTGGAACAAATTATTCTCATCCACCCATTCTGCTGAGAGGAGTCTTCACATGCTTGAGTATAGACATCCCCCTAAAACACCAGACCAAGGAGCAGAAACAAGTATCCTTTCAGAGCCTTAATGTTTCCAAAGGATATGAGGGAGTTAAGTAAACAAACAGAAGACCTGGGAGTGGGTTGGTTCTATTCTGATTGGTTTTAAAGAAGGAATGAAAAGGAAAGTTAAAAGCAGTAGTGCAGAAAGAGAAAGGAGAGAGTAGAACCTACTTTTTCTCAAAATGAGTGTGTGAGAAGAATATACAGACATGATGCAAGGAAGGGGACGCAGGCATCAAATGGACCTCACTCTGCTGAACTAGACAAAAGAGTTTTAGGTGTGTAAGTGTGTAAAAGAGTTTGTAAGTGTATAGAAATATATCAAACTCACTAGGTAAAGAAGGGAATAGTCAAATGTAAAATAAGTAAAATAAATTTCAACTTTAGAGAATGGAACCTGAAGAGAGGATTAAAATAGAGAAAGAAAGAAAAGAATTTGAAATTAAGATGGTTCCTATGAATTGGGGAATAGCTAAGCAAATTGTGCTTTAGAATGTAATGAATGCTGTTACATTGTAACAAATTGCAAACTAGACATTTTCAGAGGAGCCTGGGAAGATTTGCATGAACTGATCCAGAATGAAGAGAGAAGTTCCAAGAGAATAAATTATGTGAAAACAACAATGTGATAGCAACAAGATGATAAATACAACTGAAAGACTTAAGGAGGCTGACCAAAGAATAATGACCAACCATAACTCCAGAGGATGATGATGAAGCATCCTGCCAGAGAGAAGATTGATGCAAGGTGAAGTCAGTCAACAAGCACTTATTAAGTGCTTTCAATATGCCAGGCTAAGTGTTGGCAGAGAAAGCAAAACTCATTTTCCTTGACAATATGAAAGTCATTTTACATATAAATATATATATATATATACACACACATGTGTGTATATATGTATATATATACACACATGTGTGTATATATGTATATATACACATACATGTATATATATACATATACACATGGAGACACACACACACACACACACACACGGTGTGAGGAGTGAAACAGTAAATTGATTAGGAAGGTATAAAAAGATTTCTTTGTGACAGTGAGGGCCAGTTAAGGTTATGTGACAAATTTGCAGTGGACCCCATCAACACAGTTTTGTGACTTTCTAGCTCTTTCTGCAGCCTAGAAATAGGAGTCAAGAGAGCATCTAAGGTTGGGATTTGGCAAGGCATGATAAATTATAGGAGATGGGGTTTTGGGAGGGAAGGTATAGAGAAGAGTATAGAGCTGAACTAATTCACCAAGGAGTTGAAATAGGGAAAGGAGGAGAGTGTAGCCAAGGCAGGGGTGATGGCCAGGAAAAACTGAGGGATGGGTGGATTAGAGATCACATTGAGGATAAAAGACAAGCTTAAGGCTTATAATACAAAGGGAAATACAGAATACTAAAATTTATGATCCCATAAAGGAATTGCAGAATTTATGAACAAAGAGTAGAACACTTGTAGGTGATATAAGATCAGAAGTCTAGCCATCTCTGTGTGTCGCTGAAGTGGAGTGGAGGAACACATCAAGAGAAATGAGTAATATTGAGAAACTGGGAAATTAGGGTGGTTGAGGAAGAATCTATATGTAGGTTGAAATCCCATATTATAGCAAGAGTTAGAGAGGAGAGAAAGGTTATGAACCAGGTACTGAATTCATCTGGGGATGAATAGATAATGGTCATGAAGATCTGGTTTGGCTGATAAATTTGGAACCTCAAAAAGAGAAAAGGAGGTAGAGAGGAAGGAAAGAGGGCAACTGAGCAATGGTGATAGGAGAGAATTGAAAGTGGCAGTGGGGAACAAGGAGCATTTCAATATCCTCACCTCAACTGAAGCTGAGGGTTATTAATGAAAATACAACTAGTATTGGAAAGGGTGACTAGGAGTGGATTGTCAACAAGTCTCAATGAATGCCCCAAAATGGAAGAAGTGAGAAAGGAAATGATCTAGAGAAGGTGCAGAAAGAGTCAAACATTTCCAGATATGGACATTGTACAAATTTATTTTGCTTGATTATGCTTATTTGCTCCAAATTTTTTTTGCCATAGTACTATTTGAGGAGGAGGTGGCTAGCACTAGAGATGCTATTCCCCCAAAAAAGGGCCTTTGAAAGATTTTTTTTATACATGGCAAAAACAGAAGGAAATTCAGAAGGAAACAGACAAACAGGAGAGAAGACAGCTTTGAAGGCATGTTGAGTTTATTATGTGTGTTTTTTTTAGAATAGCAAGCTGTACAGAATAGATATTTGCAGTTGTGTATACAATCCTTTGTATGTTCTATTTTGTATATGAAAATGGTTTCTTTTTTGGTGTTTGTTAAGTTCAGAATTTAAAAAAAATAAAATCTCTAAAAAGCAACTCAACTCAGATTAAATGCTATAATGAATGGTCCCAGAGAACAACACATCTCCCACCTCTCTGTAGATAAAATGTATGTGTTGGGGAGGAGAACTCTACAGGTATAACGTGCAAGATGTGGATACTGTTGCTTGGCTGTAATTAACTTTTTTCTTAATTATAGAGAGATAGTTTTGTTAGGGGGAAGGAGGGAGATATATTGGGTAATGTCTGTGTTATATAAGCAGCCATCAGAAGCAACACTTTTTAAAAAAATAAAAATAAAGCATGAAAAAAAGTTAACGGATTGAACAAGGTGTTCTCTAAGGTTCTTTGTGGATCTGAATCTTACAGTCTGATTCCCCATTTCATCCTCTCCCAACAGATGGTAGTCAGAGTATGTAGAAGGCTGCTGGCACCAGGGGTGAGGGCTATAGAGGTAAATGGAAGCTCATTGAATGAACAGGAGAAAGAAAAACCACATTGCCCCCAAAGCCTGCTATAGGCCAACAAACTGGGAGGAGGAGTTTGGACTTCATCCAAGGGAGGGTGACCAGGCTAAGAGCAAAACTCGAGTTCATACTGTATAAGATAGTTCAAGGAAGGGGGGGGATGTTGACTGTGGAGGAGAGAAGATTCAGGGGGAATATGATTAATGTCTTCAAGGATTTTAAGGGCTGCCCTGTGAAGAACAATGAGGCTTACCTTACTTGATCCCAGAAGACATAACTGGGAGCAATGGATGGAATTTATAGAAAGACCAATTTCACTTTAAAATAAGAATATTTCCCAACAATAAGAGCTGTCTGAAAGTGGAATAGGTTGACTCAGGAAGTAATGAGTTCCCTATCCCCTGTAAGTTGTCTTCAAGCAAAGACTGGATGAATAACTGTTTAGGATAACTGTAGAAGGGATTCCTGATGAATGTAGATTGAATTATAACCTCTGAGGTCCCTTCCATCATTAAGATTCTATACATCTTTAGGAACAGTGCCACAATCCAGTGGAAATCTCTGGGTCAAGTACAATTTTCCAGTGTTTCAAAGATATGACTCTTCCTCCCTCATGCTTTTGAGCCTGCCTCACTCCTCAGCTTACCAAGCATGCATTATTTTGACCTAAGAAGGTATCCCGGGGAGAGACAGACTAGTCCTTGGTTTCTCCAAGTGCTTAGAGGGGCTTTATCTAGTTACCAGGGTCTTCAATGGCTTCCTTGCTTAGCACTGAGTATAACAGGAAGCCTTTCCTCCACTTGGGGACCCCTTTCCCACTCCATAGGGGTGAATGGTCAGCTTTGTGACTTCACAAGTCATGACCTCTGTGACAGGCAGGGTCCTGATGGACATGGCAGCTGGCCTCCAGGAGGGTTGGGATGACTGTCAGCTGGCAACATGTGAAACATCATAGAGCCTGCCCCTGGAGGGAGTACCCGTGAGCCTGTCCCACCACGGTAAGAGAAGATGATGCCCCCCTCCCACCCAAAGAACCCCTGAGCAAGGGAGAAAGCCATAGGAAGCTTGATCTGTCTTCTCCCTGGGTTCTAGCACATAGACATTACCCTTCAGTTGCCCATGGTTGTTTTCCATCATAGATTCTCGATAACTGCATTCTTCTTTTTGTCCAGCTATCTGCTCAATCACCTACCTGGAAGACAAATCCTTAGGAAGTCCATGGTGCTGTTAGCAGTTAGGAATAGGGATGTCTTACTAGGCCTCACCAGGCATTCAGAGCCAAGAGACAGCATTTGCCCTTCTGCACCTGTTTGTGCAGTCCATACCTTTGTGCCTAGTAGTCCCATTGTGACCGCAATGCCCGCGCCTATTCTTATTATGACATCACAGAGGACCTGTTGAGCAGCCCCCCAGGGGAAGCAGGTGAGTGTCTGACGTTCACCATCATGGCTCCCCCTCAGGCTGCAGCAGAAGGCATGTGCTTCCTGAAGGGAAGGCAATAACAGGGGCCTGAGTCCCTGGGGACGCATCCATAAGGATCTTGGTCTCCGAAGGACAGGGTCTGGCCTTGACCATCTCTGAGAGGTCATCCAACCCTACTTCCCATTTTGGTCTGATTAAGTGACATATAGGCCCCAGGAGACTGCATTTCCAGGTGACCTTATAGTTCCGGCCCAAGGACTGTGGACTTAATTAGGCTCCTTTGAGAACTTAAAAGGAAAGTATTGTGTCTTCTGTCTTGTCTTCTGTCCTAAAATCAAAGCCTTCTGGGACTAGACTCTGGCTTCAAGAAGTCCTCGTTTTTCTGCCATGAAATGGGTCTAACTATATCTTTGCCTTGTGGGCACAGTCAATTCACCCTGGATTAACTAACCATGGTACTAGAAAGGATAGCTCAGATGAACAAAATCCACAGCTAATTTGTGGTGGTAAGAACACAAACTTGGAGTCAGGAGATGTGGATTTGAATTATAGTTCTAACATGAGGTATATGAGTTTGGGCAAATCACCTTACCCCTCTGATCAAGAAGGTACTCATCTGTCAAATGGGTGATAATGATGATTTTAATAGCTTCGTGGGGAACACCCTGGGGGGAAATAGTTTATAAATCTCAAAGCACCATAAGAATATGTGATAGGATTTAGAGTAAGAGCTCATCTAGTCTACTAATGCTCTTTGGTTTTTGTTGTTGTCCAGTTGTGTCCAACTCTTTGTGACCCCGTTTGGGGTTTTCCTGGCAAAGATACCAGAGTGGTTTGCCATTGTCTTCTCCAGCTCATTTGACAGATGAGGAAACTGAGGCAAACAAGGTTAAGTGACTTGCCCAGGGTCACACAGCGAGTGAGTGTCAAGTACCTGAGTTTGGATTTGAACTCAGGAACCTTCTTGACTCCAGGCCCTAGCATTCTATCCACTGTGCCCCCCAGCTACCCCAATCCTCTCAGGTTACACACGAGGAAAATGAGACCGAGGAAGCTTATAGGGAGTCATCACCCCCAAACTTTGGCTTACCCTACAAAATAAATTCTAATTATCTGTGTGAAGGGAAGTGACATCAATATAGAGAAATCCCAAATAATGTCTGTTTGTCCTTGGAATACATTAAAATTGGTTTTGAAATTTTCCTCCCTGTCTCTGGCTTAGTGCAGGAGAGTGAATCACTGTACAGGACGGAGGAAGGCCGAAGTGTTCTAGGGGCAAGCTAAGTTTTCAATGGCCTTGAATAAAGGTGAATCTGCAGGCAGATAATGGAGAACTGGGTACAATTTTAGCCTACTCTTGAGGGGATCTCCTGATTTCCCTTCTCATTCTGGGTCGTCAGTGATTTAGCTAAGAAGGAAGGATGGAAAGAAAAGAAAAAGACCCAAACAATGCACAAACAGGCCCATTATATCTTTATTAGCTGAAAGTTGACTCTATGGCCTGCCTCATTCATCCTGAAACCTACTGGGACTGGGTGGTGATTTCATTCTCCCCATTTGGGAGGTGAATGAACTGAGGCCCTCAAAGGGTTAAGTTAAGTAAGGGTCGCCTTAGTGAGTTGTCAGTGGTTGCACACTGATGAGTCAGAGATTTCCACTGAGAATTAAGGGGTAAATCCGGGAAGTAAAAGCCAATGGATCTCCATGATCCATTGGATATGGGTGATCTGACCGCAAGTAGGATGGAAGGAAGAGGATAGGGGATGTTGAGGACTAGTGGGGCTAAGAAAGCTTATGTATTTGTGGGAAAGGTTGGCTTGTTCCCAATGCCTTAGGGTCAGTCTGGATAAATGGGATCTTCTGAGTCCCAGAGAGCTACAGAGGTAAGGGATCTGATCTGCCTTTTGGCAGGATTATGGACAGCTCCGGGTATCACATTTTAGAAGTGCTATTGGAAAGCTCTTCTTCGAGCTTGGTACAAGGATAGTGAGAGAGCTGGAAATCACACTAGATGAGAACTGAGCATGTGGAGCTTGCAGAAGGGAAGACCTAAGGGAAGCAGGGGACAGCATCACAGAGTGGAAAAGACACTGGATTTGGAGTCAGAGAACCTACAAATATTGAATTCCAGCTCCCTGGATGACCTTGGGCAATTCATTTCCCTCTCTCTTGGCTATCTTCAAAATGAGGGGTTTGGATTAGATCATCTTTAAGGAGCTAGAGATCCTAGGACCCTGTGTCTGAAGAGCTGGTCTCAAAGCCTTCTGTTTAGATCCAGGGGACAGAACTAGGAACAGTGAAAAGTTATATGAAGAACAGATTTAAGCTTTGTGGAAGAAAAATCTTCTTAAGAATGAGAGCTGTCCAGAAGGAGAAGGCGGAGAAGGAGGCGCTCATTAGGAAGTAATGAACATTGTTTCCTCACCAGATGTCTCCAAAGCGAGACCATTTTCTTGATGGTAGACTGGAGAGGGAATTGCTCCTCTGTCACGGGTTGGATTAAACAAACTTCTAACGCTGCAATTCTACGAAGCCAAGCTCAGAAATCAGGAGGAGAAAAGATCAAAGGAACTCTCTGGCAGTTCACCTGGGACCCCCTTCCCAGCTCCCTGAGTGGGGTGGGATGGAAGTGGGAGCAGAAATGAGAAAATAAAAGCTAGAAATGTACTTAGCTATGTAACATGCCAGGTACTAAACACAAACAGGTTACCATACACTGCCCCTTTCCTTCTAGATGAATGGAGGGACTGATTTATTGGTCACAACACTAGAAAGAATCTGTCTTCTTCTGGCTTAGATTTGCAAAGGCAGGATTGTTTATGGGAGCTGAGGAGTGTGAGCATTCTGGGAAGTCTTATTTCATGAAAAGCAGACAGGACCCTGGATGAATGTCGTCTCTTCCCCCTTGAATTCTCTTCCTCCCCTTACTTTAGTTGGGCTGGAGAGCTTCCTGGCCAGTGGGGGAGTTGCTATGGGTCTGTGGGGAAAAAGCCACCCAGGGGCTCCTAGACTCTAGATCTGACTTTGCCACTAATATTCTTTGTGACTGATCTTAGATAAGCCCCTTTCCCTCTCTGTGCTTCAGTTACTCCATTGGTGAAATGAGGGAATAGAGCAAGGTGATCTAAGGCCCCTTCCTTCCTCACCTCTACCTTCTAGCTTCTTTCAAAGTACAGCTCATGTGCTTTTTCTGATCCCGACGGTTACCAGTGTTTCCCCTTCCCCATCCCTGAAAACTTAACTTGTATTGATTTTTATATGTTGTATATTTGACAGGCAGCGTTGGTATAAAGAGTAAGGGTACTACATCAAGAGGATTTGGGTTCATGTGTGCGTGTGTGTGTGTGTGTCTCACACACACACACACACACACACACATACACACACACACACACACACACACACACACACACACACTGGGAAAGTCATTCAACCTCCTCATGCTCCAGGCAACACCCCTTCCTCCCCATCCTAAATTGGAGAGTATAGAGATCTGCCTTGATAAAAAGAATTTCTTCACCAGGAGTTCCCTACACCCCCCAAAAAAGCTATTTTACATTCACTTATATGTGAATATCTTGCTTTTCCTGATACAATGTAAAATCTTCAAGGGCATGAGATATTTTGTTTTTGTCCCTGATTCTGTAGTAGGCATTTAATAAAGGCTTTATCGATTGGGCAATCCTATTAGGGAGTGAGATGAAGAAGGCACAGTCCTTGCACTCAGGGAGATCACATTTCAGTAGGAGAGATGTGACATGAATATATGTCAGTCAGCAAGCATTATTAAGCACTTTACTACATGCCAGACACTCTGCTAAGCTTTGGAGATACCAAGGAAGTGTGAACGGTCCCTGCCCCCAACGAGCTTACATTCTAATGAGGGAGACAACATGCAAACAAACAAGAATGTAGGAGGAAGTGCCTCCTACATTCCCATAATTATAATGCAAAATAAAACCTAATAAATGCATGAAAGCTGCAAACACAGGGCTAGGGAAGCAGAGAGGAAGGAGCATTCATGTTTGCCTAGGAGAGAGATCAGGGAAAGTTTTTAGGAGGAGGTAGCATTTGAGGTGGGCCTTAAGAGACTTCCAGTACCTAGAAAGGGGTTAGGAGAAGACATTTCAGGAGTGAAGTGAGTAAAGTCATACAGATTAGAAAACACGGGATATCTGGGGAGGACAGTGAACAATGCAGTTAAGCTAAAGTATAGAATAGGAAAGTGGCAGCTAGATGTTGTTCAGTTGTTTTCAGTCACGTGCAACTCTTCGTGACCCCGTTTAACGTTTTCTTGGCAAAGATACTGGAATGGTTTGCCATTTCCTTCTCCAGCTCATTTTACAGATGAGGAAACTGAGGCAAACAGGATTAAGTAACTTGCCCAGGGTCACACAGCTAGTAAGTATCTGAGGGTGGATTTGAACTCAGGTCTTCCTTACTCCAGCCTGGCATTCTATCTTTTTAAAAATTTTTTTTATTTAAAATTTTTTAAAATTTATTTTTTAGGCAATTGGGGTTAAGTGACTTGCCCAGGGTTACACAGCTAGTAAGTGTCAAGTGTTTGGTCTGAGGCCAGCTTTGAACTCAGGTCCTCCTGTCTTCAGGGCTGGTACTCTATCCAAGCTGCACCCTGGCATTCTATCCACTGCATCCCCTAGCTGCCTAGAGCTCTGAGCCTGGAAGACTCATCTTTCTGAGTTCAAATCCAGCCTCAGACACTTAATAGCTTTACTACCCTGGGCAAGTCACTTAACCCTGTTTGCCTCAGTTTCCACATCTGTAAAATGAGCTGGAGAAGGAAATGGCAAGTATCTTTGCCAAGAAAACCCCAAAATGGGGTCACAAAGAGATAGACATGACTGAAAAAATGACTGAAGAACAAAACATATAAAG